CCCCCCCCCATCTGCATGGAAGTGCCGCTCACAGGCCGAGCGGGTCACTGCTCAGGGTGGAGGGTCCGGTGGGCTGACTCAGAGCGGCCTCTGCTGGCCCTCACCGGCATGGGGCATCCAGGGAGCTGTGTGGGGCCTGGCAGCTGATGCTGGTTCTCCGCCCCATCCTGACAGTGGCTGGGGTGGGTAAGTTTAGTGGGCTCAGAGGCGTGGCAGGGGCTTGCCCGTCTCCGCTGGCACAAGCTCGTTTGCTGTGAGGCTGAGGGCCATGGACACTGACTCCCCGTCGCCCCCTAGAGGTTTATCAGTGCAGGGGTGACTAGGAGATTGCCCAGGGCTGTCTGTAGCACCTAGCGCCAGCCCAAAGCTCTGGCAGGTAGGAGGGAGTTAAGCGGCATCTGGGAGGTCGGAAAGGAGACTGGGAGCCGGTGGGGGCGTCCACACTGCATTGTGAGCCTGCGTCTGTGGGATCTCTGCTCCCCATCCCACGTGCAGACCCCTCCCCCCCCTCAGCCGCGTCTGGACATGTTCAGTGACTCCGCCGGGAATCCCCTCCCCCCCGCCTTTCCAGAACGGCCGGTCAGTCAGCAAGCGCGGCGTGAGCTGTCAGTTCGGGCCCGATGTCACCAAAAGCTTCCTGGAGCGGAACCAGCTCGATTACATCATCCGGAGCCATGAGGTCAAGCCCGAGGGCTACGAGGTGACGCACGAGGGCAAGTGCATCACCGTCTTCTCGGCACCCAACTACTGGTGAGTGCTCCGGGCCGTGCCCTGGGGACCCCTGGGTGGCCACGTCGTGAAGTGAGCAGGGAGCGTCTCTGTTTCCTCCAGGGCCTGGACTGTATGGGCCCCTGCTGCTTGTAGCTTGTGAAGTCTCAACCCCAGGGATCACTGCTCCCACCCTCCCTCTCCCCCTCCGCTGAGATGCAGCCACCTCTGAGGTGGAACGTGGCCGCTGCTTGTACAGGGATGGCTCACCTGCTGCTGAGATAGAGCCACCTCGGGGGCGTGGCAGTTGTTTAACAGCAATAACACAACACTCTACAAGGTTAGGGCAGGACGTAAAGAAGCCTATGGCCGGGAGAATTTGCTAGATTTTCCCAGGAAGCCGAGTTTTGTGCTCCTGTGAGAAGTGCTGTCGATTCTTAACAACCCCCAGGAGGTCAGGATCTCATGCTTCAATCTTGTCCACGCTTCCTACACCCCCTAGCACCACTGGCCAGCACTGAGCGTGAGGGGAGAGCACCCCCGGCTGAGTCCCTGCCCCCTGCAGCACAGCGCCCTCTAACACCGCGCTGGGGCATTGCGGCCAGCAGGGAGCGCACCCCCTGCTGAGCCTTCTGCCCGCTCCCTCCCGGCAGTTTCTGGCTTTCTCCGGGAGGTCTCAAGTCATGGAACAGTACTGACCTAGCCCAGCTTCCAGGGTGAGATTCAGTGGGCTCCAGGCTGGTCTTTTCTGGGCAGGAGCAAAGCCAGCTTGGTTAGCGTCTGCATTTCCCACCTCCCCCTCCCCGGGGAAGGCGGATTGCCTGGGAAAGGGGAGCAGTGCGGCCAGCAAGCAACTAACAGGCTGTGCGCACATGTTGTAAAAGGCAGCGTTACCTAGTAGTTAGAGCTGGGAGGGAAGTGTGGTCTAGTGGTTAGAGCAGGGGAGGCAGCTGGGAGGCAGACTCAAGGGTGCTATCCCTGACTCAGCAAGTGCTTGGGCACGGTACTGCTCTGTGCCTCGGTTTCCCCATCTGTCGAATGGGGGTCCCAGCCCTGAGGTTTCAGTGGAAGTGCTGAGCACTGCTCGCCCTACTCCTGAAGCAGATGCAGCAGACAGTTGTTTTCTCCCACACAGCAGCATAGTCAGGGGCAGTCCGGGCCCGCTGGGTAAAGGTCAGGGAGGTCTCTGTGGGTGGGGGATGGGATTCCCCTTTCCTTTGCTGGAGGTGACCAGCCCTCCGTGTGTTCTCTCCCCAGCGACCAGATGGGGAATAAAGGTTCATACATCCACCTGCGGGGGTCGGACCTGCACCCCGAATTCCACCAGTTCACAGCCGTGGTGAGTGATTGGATTGTCCCCTCGGGGCCTCTGGGAACTGACTGCACCTGCCCCTGTGGGCCTGCCCGCCTGGGGCAACCCCCTCTGGCCGTCGTGCTGCCCAGGGGCGCGGTTCGTTGGCACTGCCTGGTTCCATGGCTAGGCAGACAATCCCAGTCCTTCCCCTGCTCCTGCTGCCTGCCTCTTGGGGTTCCCTGCCCGTCCAGACCCAGCTCCGAGCAACCAGACCTATTGTGAACTCTCTGAGCTTGTTCTGGGCTCTAGGATGTGTTTGTTCTGTCCCGCACCACCCTGTGCTGCAGTGTGCAGACGGACGGGCTGCGTTCTTAGTTACACCGGGGCTCACGCTCTCTGCCCCCTATGGGCCCTGGGGGGCAGAAAACAGCAATGGCGCCGTGTGCTCTGAGCACAAGCCTGAT